TGATCTTCTGTAAGGGTAATGCTGACTCTAATATGGGTGTCTTAAGCGTTCTGGATCATTTTTATGAAATCTCTAGGCTTCATCTTAATTCCTCCAAATGTGAAATCTTTTCTTCTGGTTGTTCTTCAAGATCAATGGATTTTTTTCAACAGATTACTGGTTTCAAAAAAGGTAGCTTACCTGTGAGATACTTAGGTATTCCTCTTGTTACTCGTAAACTTACAGAGAAGGATTGTGTTGTGCTTATTAAAAAAATTAAACAGAGGATCCATCACTGGTCTGCTAGAAATCTAGGCTACGCTAGCAGACTTGAACTCATCCGTTCTGTTCTTTTCAGCGTCTTGAATTACTGGTGCAGACAGCTTATCCTTCCCAATTCGATTCTTGCCAAAGTGGACAAGCTCTGTTCCAGATTTTTCTGGAAAGGTGAAGAGAAGTCTGCTTCAGGTGCTCGAGTAAGATGGGATTTTATTTGCTTCTCTAAAGCCAAAGGTGGTCTTGGCTTAAAGAACACTAAAATCTGGAATCAAGCTTGTTCTATTGATTTAATTAGGAAAATCTTAGCGGGTGATGGCTCGCTTTGGGTTGCATGGTTAACATCTTATGTTTTCAAAGATCAAGATTTCTGTAATTTTGTTGCAGATCTAATGTGAGCTGGAGTGTTACTAGAATTTTAAAATTGCGTTCTATTGCTCTCACCTTCTTATCATCTTCTGGTTATCTTAGGCGACATTTGGGAATCTATTCGAATCAAAAGGGAGAAAGTTCCCTGGCAAAATCTGATCTGGTTTCCCATGCACATTCCTAAATTCAGTTTGATTGCTTAGATGCCTTTGTTAAACAGATTACCAACAAGAGATCGGCTACTCAAAATGGGAATTTCCACTGAAGGGACCTGTGTTAATTGCAGTAATGATCAGGAGACAAGAAATCACATTTTCTGTCAATTCTCTTTTGTTGTTCGACTTTGGAGCTCTGTCCTATTGCTTAATGACTTGAAGTATGCATCATCTTCATGGGAAGAAATTCTTACTCGGGCTTCTTCATCATGGAAAGGGAAATCATTGCTCACCACAATCCTGAAGATTGCTTGGACTGCCTATATCTACACATTGTGGGAGGAAAGGAATCGTAGAATCTTCCAAGGTCGTCACAGATCAACTGATGAATTGCTCAAGGTTATTACTGAAGTTGTACGAATTCAACTTAAGGGTAAAAATATTAATAGAGCTGATAGAATAAACTCTAACCTTTGTACTAATTGGGGTATTACTTAAACCAATCATTGTCTTTTAGAAGTAGGTTGTTGTTAAATTTGTTCTGATTGGTTGTTTTTATAGCAGAACTCTGCTCTTCTGGATAATAAAATTTGATTTATCCAAAAAAAAATTGAGAAATAACCACGTTGGACCAATAAAGAGATTTTTAAGTTCTATTATAGAGATAGTTATAATTAAGCTTCATGGAAAATATATAGATAGGTTTGATTTTGTAACTCTTCAACTATGAACAGTTTGAAACATTCTTTTTTAGAGTATATGTTTTTAAGGATAATCTTGTATTATTGAAGCAGATTTATGCTTTTCTTTGGGTAATAACACGTACAAATTATCTATATAAAAAAAGTTAAATACCTAAATACAACTTTAAAGAAAGTTGGGTACTACTTTACACATAAATACCAAAATTAGATATTAAAAGTTATAGTTCCTCTAAAAAGATATGAAGTATTCAACTATGTAAGTATATGGGACCCATCAAGTAGTCTCAATGGTTGCGATGAGTGTTTTACTCTTTAATAGGTTCTGGTTTAAGCAGCTGTGGCCTAATTTGCAATGTGTGTTGTTAATGATTTAAGAAATATTATGAACATATACTAAGTGTTTGTGATGTTTCTTGTTGGGTTTTAAGCGAAAATGTAGGGACTTCAAGAGATTTGTTAATGTCTTCAGTTCAAATTATTATTTGGTTAAAAATGGAGAATGTTTCACTGTCATGCATCGTTGTTCTATTTAACCAATTCCTTTTGCTCCTTATTTACTCGAAATACCATCAAAAATGTACCAAAGCAGAACAAATTAAACAAGTTTTCAAATCTATAAAACCCCTCTGAAACATTCGCTATCTTAATAACTTTTGCCACGCAAAACCAAACCACCAACGTTAATTTGGAATCATTCTCCCATGGCATCACCCAGCACCAAGTCCCACACCCGTACCTGCCTGTGTTCGCCAACGAAGCACCCTGGTTCCTTCAAGTGCAGCCAACATCGCCGTTCCAATCACCCACCCGCACCCGTGTCCGCCCGTCGAGCCACGACGGTGCGTGCCTGGTCGAATTACAGAGAATTAGTTACGAGAGCCGGAGCAAATTCCCACAAGGAGTTTCTGCTTCAAGGCGTGAAGCCGTCGAGATCGAGCGCTGTTAGCATGCAAAGGAGAAGGAATTTCCAGCCTAAACCTTCTAGGTTCTATTTATTGAACGGCAATAGAAATGGGTTAGGGGTTTCGGTTTTATGATCATTTATCCTTTTGTTTTCAAAACTTTGAGGAAAAAAGTATATTATTATTATTGGGACTCTTATATTATACAGATTTTATTACATCTGACCAATGTATTTTATATAATATCTACTTATTAAAATTTAAGGTAAAACTACTTCATTAACAATGAAATTATCATCTTTTATTTAATCATTAAACTATTTTTAAACAGTAATTACATCACCTTTTTTTTCAATTTTAATCACCAACTACTAAATTTTTAATGATGATACTTACGTGAATTTATTTTTATTCATTTATTTAATTTTAAATATATTTTCATATTGTTTAAATTTATGCACTGTATTCATTAAGCTAAAAATTAGATCATTATATATATTATGTATTAATAAATTCATTATTTTCAAAAGTACTCTAGTCAATATATTGCAATTGTTTTAACTCTTTTTAATTTTAAAATTATTTATACAAAATTTAACACACTTGTATATTTTTGTGTTTTTTTTTTTGTCTTGCCATGTTGTAATTATTTTCTCGAATTTATGTATCATATGATTTAATTTATTTATATTTTGTATAAATTATTATAACAATTTGATTTATGAATTTCAAAAATCAAATTCTTGCATATATTGACATAAATATTATATTCAACGTCTTGATCTCATTTCTCAAATTATAATATATTATTTTAATAATAACAATAATAATAGCAGCAAGAAAAACTCTATCGAACTCTACATACTGATAAATAAAATTTCAAGAAAAAAATCATTAATAAAATAGATAATTAACATTAAAAAGTTTAAATTTTAAACATGTTCCCATTTTTTAAAAAACACATGTATCTGCCCCTAACTGTACAAGTATAATCTGTTTGAAGATCCGCGGAGCAAACCGAAGCCAGTATATTATATTTTCTCGGATAAATCCCAAAATGAAGAAGAACAGTTGGGATTTCATAGCCATTCATTTACTGCCACCAACGGTTAATGACGTAAAGACAATATTCACGATAAAACCCCACTTAATATTTTGGGTAAGTAACACAAGATAAGTATTTGTTTTTTATATTGAAGTTTTAAAAGTAACAATTAATTAATTACTAACACTATCAATTTGTTGAAAATTGATCATTCAAGGTTAAGAGTCATTAGTTTAAGTCATGAAAAGTTAAACTGAACTGTTAATTTGACACATTGAACAGTCACCTCTTCAACTTTAAATAAAAATCTAATTTATTTTTATTCATTTTTATTTTAACCCATTATTTCCACCCCACCGCTACACTTAAAATCATCTTTTAAGTTCCGAAACACCGTGAATACTCTCTCTTCCTCAAACTCCATCGCCTGCTCGACAAGACACCATAGCATCTCAAGTTGATGGAATGTGCGTGAAATACTTGATAAACCATCCTTCTAGCCTGTTGCACCAATATACCATTAATTGTTAAACTTGCATCATAGCGTTTCAAACGATTTAATGGAAAGGTATTAGGAAGAGATAAAATTCAATAATCAAATGTACGTAGGAGCATGTGTTGATGGAGAAGTAAATATCCTTAAAATTAAGTTTTAAACATAGCTGGAGTTTATTTAAAGTTGCAGATAGAGAAGTAAATATCCACAGGGCATCTAAGATTGCAACGGGAAGAACCAAATACGCTTCTTGCGGACTTAATTTTGAATGTTTGTGAAAAATTAGCAAGTTTGCATGGTAAAAGAAAAGATCTAAAATCTTCATGTAAGGCATATTTCAAACCTATTAACTAGTTAAAGAAAAGGGAAGGGGAAAAAAGTAACAGAGACGACTGACCGATCACATCAACTAAAAAAACAAAATCACGGACGCTATGAATACAAAAACCATCCATTGTACACTCACTCTCAACCCATCAAATGCCACCACAGAATATTATTTTCATTAAAAATTTTGGATTCAATTCAAACCCTAGTTTACGTGATATTTATTATTATTATTATTATTATAGTATCGTGTTTAGAATCATTGAATCAGCTTTCTTATACATTAATTGATTATTAGTATATTAAATGTTTTCAATAGTGAAAAGAATATTTTTCTTCTAAAATAATATATATTCGAGCAGCTGTGTCTGTAATGTGCGTGTGTTGTTAAAAACTAGGAAAGATTTTACTAATTTAATCTATGAGTAAGTGAAGAAATGAATTAAAAAATGACACTATTCCCCACCATTTCACATGCATTGCCTATACCTCTTTCTTTTTATCCTTGTGTGTCCGGAGAAAGTAGCTCGGACTCAAACTGAAACCTGGATTTTGAAGGAATGTAGCAAACGAAGTGTGGCAACCTAATGAGCTGTAATATAGTGAACGTATGGTGGGAGTTTGGCAATGTATAATGTATACATGGATTGCCAACTAGCAAAGTTTGTCTGAAACTTATAGCTCATATACGTTCACGTGATCGACTTTTCTTTGTTTTCTTACTATTATAATTCTGCTATATATAATTTGCATTTCCCTTCAAGTAATTGAAAACGCTACAACATGGATTCCACCAAAATCTCATCTCTCCTTCTCATTTGCATGCTTTTCATTTCCTCTGCCACTCCAATTCTCGGTTGTGCTTCATGTCGCCATGCACATCCCAAGCCTAAAACCCCAATCCATTTGCCACCTGTTAAAGTCCCTCCGGTCACTGTTCCTCCCATTGTAAAACCACCGGTTACACTCCCTCCCGTCGTCAAGCCACCAATTACAGTTCCCCCAGTGACTGTTCCTCCAGTGAAGCCACCAGTTGAACTCCCTCCAACTGTAAAGCCACCAGTTGAACTCCCTCCAACTGTAAAGCCACCAATTAGCCTGCCTCCAGTGACTGTTCCTCCAAAGATTGTGCCTCCAGTGACTGTGCCTCCAAAGATTGTACCTCCAGTTGTAAAGCCACCAATTAACCTGCCTCCGGTGGCTGTTCCTCCAAAGATTGTGCCTCCAGTTGTAAAGCCACCAATCAACCTGCCTCCGGTGGCTGTTCCTCCAAAGATTGTGCCTCCAGTTGTAAAGCCACCAATCAACCTGCCTCCGGTGGCTGTTCCTCCAAAGATTGTGCCTCCAGTTGTAAAGCCACCAATCAACCTGCCTCCGGTGGCTGTTCCTCCAAAGATTGTGCCTCCAGTTGTGAAGCCACCAATTAACGTCCCTCCAGTGACTATCCCTCCAGTTGTAAAGCCACCGATCAAGCTCCCTCCTGTGACAGTGCCACCAAGTGGAAAACCCTGCCCACCTCCACCATCAACCAAGGCCACATGCCCAATCAACACACTGAAACTGGGTGCTTGTGTGGACCTGCTAGGAGGGGCGGTGCACAATGGAGTTGGCGACCCAGTTGTGAATACATGCTGCCCAGTCCTTGCAGGGCTTGTTGAAGTCGAAGCTGCCGTCTGCTTGTGCACCACTCTCAAGCTCAAACTCCTCAATCTCAAAATTTATGCACCAATTGCTCTTCAGCTCCTCGTCACATGTGGGAAAACTCCCCCTCCCGGTTACACTTGCTCTCTTTAAATCCAGGTTAGCCACTTTCATTATGCTTTCTTTAGGGTCCAACTTTACGTTTGATATTTTCTAGTTACACTGTTTTGATTAGTGAATTAGATATTTTGAGCAACTTTTCCTTCTCATAAGATTTCATGGCGTACGGGTTTTGCAGGTTGGGAGGTTCCTTAAACTTCCACTCTATCAGTCGAATTGGAAATCTCTGCAGCCTAAGCTGTATTTGCAATACCAATTCTTTCTACTTAATTATTCCAAGTGTGCTTATTTCTTAAACATTGTTATTTCCTATCAGTATCTGTCAAATTGTGAATTGTAATTTTATATTCAAGTTAAATATTTTAGCTCATTGTTGAAAGACAATGGGTGGTTGTAAGGTTCAAGGAAGAGGGGACCAATTTTAAAGCTATGGCGCATGAAACTTGTTTGTCTCTATAACATGTGCTGTCTGTTCAAATGTCCGTATATCATATATGTGTACAAGTCGGCTATGATTAGGCTTAAAATGAATCTTAATTATTATTTATTTCTAAAAAATTCAATTGATAATAATTTAAATCTTATTTCTTATTATATAAGGAGTTTATATTCAATCAAATATTTATTAAAATCATTTAAAAAATTATTATTATTTTCTATTTTAACAATGAAATAATAATAATAATAATAATAAATTAATTATACGATACGGTTTAGATTATGAATTTAAATTCTCTAAGTTAAATTTGGATCTAAAAAAAAATTAGTTATTACTTGTAATTTAAAATAATCTCATTATTTTAAATTATTATAGAGAATGATAAATCATAAATGTAATGATAAATCATAAATGTTTATATTTATTCTTGATGTGTGATTCTATAAGTTCAATCAACGTAAGAAGCATACATGCCTAAATCACATTTGATCCTATAAGTTATAAGCGGCTTCTAGTAAGATATGTTAACTACCCAAGTTAAATGAAAACCTCATGATCCAAGATAACTTTAATACAACTAATGACATGATCTTTTGTCTTACGATATCTTGATAGAAAATAAAACATTAAAAAGTCAACATTATATCGTTCTATCTTTAATTTCTCAAAAACAAATTATAGTGTCTAAACAAATGATATTAATCTTCGTCAACTCATTTGAGCACGACCATGTATTTCTTAATCTCAATCGTGGAAGGGCCAAAGATAACTCTCTTATAATAAGAGGGATAAATTCTATCTTAATCACCATATCTCACTACATGATTCTTATTGTATTCAAACATAATTGTAACAACCTAACATTTCGCTAAGGACTAAACTATAAAATTCTAGAAATAGCAGTGACCAAGTAGAATTAAAAGAAGTTTAGATTTTGAGAATTTCCCTCGGAAGAAGAATTAAACTGAAAGGAATTTATTATAGTTGGGTTCAAAATGGAAAAAAGAAAGAGTTGGGTCTTTATAGAATGATTTTCCAAACATTGTCATGAAATTTTTGCAAGAAACATTTTAGACCCTAGATCTAGTGTATTTTGGCATGTTTAATCCTAACCCTCAATTTCTTATAAGTATCTTTTTAAATATAAAGTAAATAAAAAAAGATGAACCATTTCTCTTCATCTTCTCCATAACTTGAAGTCTCCAAGGTAAGGGCTTTCTCCATATTTCTTCACCTTTCTAATTTATTATATTTGGGTTAGATAAAAAACTTGACTCGAAGGAAAAAGTAAGGATCTTTATGAGCTAAGGATCTTGAAGGATTTTATGAGCTCTAAAAAAATACTCATGTGGGTTTAGAGATGGTTTTAGAGAGGGATGATGATAGTGAGAGAAACCCCAAGACCATTAGCTTTACTAATAAATTCTCCTTTATATTACACATGCTGCATATGATTATTATATTGTTTTTCTTCCTTGTTTTTGTATTTCATAAGCTCCAAATAAGGAGTTGGAACTACCAAGAACAAGGAAAAGATTCAAGGATAGAGCATCCTTAAAGTTCAAAGTGGTATTTTGATTAGCTAAAGTAAAGGTGAGTGAATTACATTGTCTTTTGTATGATGAATGTTGTTTATAGAGTCTTGTAACAAGCCACCTAAGACATATAGTCAATGTGAGCCTAATGTATGAACTTTCTATGCTCACAAGGTGTTTATTGTATCTGTCAATTTCATCACCAAATAAATTTACTATCTTATATTGTCTCATAGAAAAAGGGATGGCTTTAAAGAGGGTCTAGGGTTTGAGAAATCTAAGTTATTAGAAGGTATAGTTTAAAGAGATCGAGAGTTGGTTTCATGGTCAAATTGTGTTTGAGGTTTGATTTGAGTAAATTTGGTATCTAGAAGGTTGTTTTTGTTGTTGCACTCCAACTGTTTGTGTTTGTGTGTGAGTGAAGTTCCGCAAACTTCAAGGAAGATGAATGGTTCAGCAGTAACTCTGTTTGTTCAAAACTTACCACCTAGATATCATTAGAGTGGTGCAAGACAACTATTCGGTAGGCATGGAGAAGTGATTAGCTCTTACATAGCGAGGAAGAATGACAGAACATGAAAGTGATTTGGTTTTGTTAGATTTTCCAACAGAGAGGATTCAGTGAGAGCAGCTCAAAGATTAAATGGATTGTGGATATTCGGATATCGTCTATCAGTCAAAGAAGCTCATTATAGTAGTAAGAATCAAAACTAGAAATTGGATAGACCTTCAAATTCAAATGCAACAACCAGGGCAAAACATCGTAAAAGTGTGAATGGAGAAAGTTCGGAGGAGCAAGTAAGAGGAAGGAGTAGGTTAATACAGGGAGAGATAGATGAGGAAGTTGTTCGAAAGCTTCAGAAGTGCTTAGTAGGAACGATGGTGACGGTTTGTTCTTTATCTCAAGTGGAAGATAGACTACGAGCAGGAGGTCTAGGAGTAATTAAAATTAAGTTTCTGGGAGAAAGAGATTTCTTGTTACAAGTAGATGATGATGAGTTATTAAGTATCATGAAGGAGCATAAATGGTCGTATTTAACTGAAATTTTTCTGGAAGTGCAACCTTGGTCAGAGTCATACAGAGCATCGGAAAGAGTAACATGGATTAAGCTGTTTGGAGTGACGTTGCACTGCTGGAATCATGGCACGTTTAAGAGGATAGCATAGTAATGGGGAGAATGTTTAGCGATAGGAGAAACGCATTTCAAGCAATGGGATGTGAGGAGATAATTATCCTTATAGCAACTAGCACGAAGGAATCAATTGATGAAGTGGTAGATTTAGAAGCAGGTAGAGATATTTTTAAAATTAGAGTAGTAGAACAATCCACAAACAGAAGCGATAATTCTGGTCGAAAGCAAGATGTAAAAGAAGCTATGGTGACGGTTGATTCTGAGTCTTCAACAGGAAGAAGCTTGGACTCACCGGAGGAAAAGAACTTCGAGAGGTGGCAGGAGGAAGATGACAGTAAATTTTGTTGTATGGGGAATCTTTTTAGAAGCGGTTACTTGTCGGGTGAGGACGAGAAGGAAAGGAACATAGGAGAGGAAGTAATTGTGGGAATACGAAAAATTGATGATTGATGGGGGAAGGATCTAAAGCAATTTGAGGAGGTAGTGGAACAAGAGGATAGAGAAGTTGAAGATGTTAGCCGAATTGAATAGAAAACTGTATGTGCCAATTAGGAAATGAAGAATAACTTAAAAGATTTGTCTTCATGTGAACATCGATTAGAGTCAAAGGCAGTGGAGGACGTGGTTTATATGGGCCTCACAAATGTATTTTCTAATTTAATTTCCAACGGTGAGGAAGCCCAACATGATGGGGTTTTGGTTGATGGGGACGGAGGAAATGCCAAACAGGGGATAGCTCGGGAGGATATAGATCACAGGATCGGCTTGTCAACACAAACAATGGAGGATTTATTTATGCTCAATTCCAGACAGAACCGAAGGTCAAAGGTGGGGAAAAATAAAAAATACAGCTCTCTGCAAAGAATTCAAGAGAAGTATGCAGTCACCCAAAGAAAGAATAGAAACTACAGAATTAAGAAAAATCAGAAGATGGTGCTAAACGAGGAAGAAGTGTATGAGCTAGAAGGAAGATCTTTATCTGATTCTGACCTTCAAGCAAGGTGACAGAGACAAAAGAGGGAAGCGAAGGAAACATTACAGCTTGGCAGAGAACTGGGTATACAGTTTAAAGGCTCATAAGAGGTTATAGTTCGGGAAATGACAGCTCTGGAGGAATTGGAAGGCGAGTCACAATCTTTATCTACACAATTTTAGCTGAAATCAGTGAAGGAAGAGTCGAGATGAGGATATTATCGTAGATCTTAAGAGGAGTTTAGTGTTTAGATGTTGTTGTCGCATGAGTGTGAAAAGATGAGACTTAGTGTATTTCGTAGCCTTTGATGTAATTTGGTTTTGGTTCGTTAGATGCTATGGTAAGCGAATTTGAAGTGGGTGGTCTATAGGGAATTGTAAATCATGTTTCTTTTTCTGTTACTGGCTTGGTTATTTTGGGTGTATCGGTGTAAGGAGTCACCGCAATCACGGTTGGTCTGCTGTTATGTTGGGATAGTGTGTATGGCAAAGAGTGGTGCTGCTAGTATCCTGTTAAACGAGTTATGGAGATCGGAAGATACGATATAGTTTTACTCAGACGACAATCTGATGAATGATAGTATAGTTTGGGATAGATAAACTTGAGAGTTGGGGCTTGATTATTGGTAGATCCTTTTGAGAAATCTAATTCGAAAAAGTGAAAGGGAACGACAATAGGAAGCAATTCGTTGGTTGGCTATTGAAGTTCTGCCGGTTGCTAATATGTTAGTTTTATCTTCATTACTCTGTTGGTTTTGTTTTTATTGTTAAGTGTGTCATTTATTACAAGAGTTTTTAGAGAGTTTTTGAATTACATTTGTGTTTGTTCATTCCTGCCTGTTTGTCATATTTGGGTCTAGAATGGTTCCGAGGGTGTTGATGTTATTTGAAAGAAGTTTGGTTTGTGTCTGAATTCGCAGTCAATGGGGAGCTTTGTTTGACTCATTGGGAGGGGGTCTTAACTAAGAATATGTTGGATAGAGAAAAGGCGTTGTTGGACGTCCTAAAAAAATGAACTCATGACATGGTTTTGAAGCGTGTTGTCCCGGACAGGTTAGTATGTTCAATTGATTAAGCATGCCATTGTTTCATCAAGTTTAACTTGCAGAAACATTCCTAGGTGTAATGATTGGAGTATTTAGTATTTGAATTAATTTAAGGGTGGGCAATGTAAGGGTGGGCAGTTTGATTCATATTCGGAATTGTTTGAATGAATCAATTGTTTGTTTAGTTGTTTTCGTTTTGTTAGCTTCTGGTTGGTTTTGTACCTTTTACCTAGTTTTGAGTACTCTTTTCCTTCAACTAGGTTAGGGAGGTTTTTAACGAGGCTCTTAACTTAGGTTTGATGAGTTATTAATAAAATTAAATTTGCTGAGCAAAAAAACAAGGTGTTTATTGTCGAAATCATTATATGTTGATTCAAATACATTGAGTTTTTAAGAGCTACTCATATGATTAGACTCACCATCAATCGTTTTAACTAGGTATAATTGAATACCTTCAGTCTCGTTCAACTCTTGAAAATTTGTAATGTGCACCCTCTGAATTTTAAATATATATAACATCTTAAATTTTCATTTCTAACATAAAATCATAAGTCCATCTTTGTATAAAATAATCATAGTATCGCATTGTATTTTTTATTTTTGATAATTTTGGGATGAATACAAAGTATTATCTATTTAAAAACTCTAAATCAGTTGACAGTGAATGTTCAGACCCTTACATATGTGGTGCTCAAACCAGGGATATCAAAAAATAACAATAAATCCTTAGCCACTGAAATTACTTGATTTGTGCATACATTAATTTTTTTAAGCAAGTTTTCACTTGTTAATGTGTGCTAATTTTTTTAAAAGATAAAATATAAGTATTAAAATTTAACTTCTAAAATAATAATGAGACTTCGGCATATTTAAAAAAACATTTTAAATGTTATCCTTAATATTGAAGTGTCAAGTACACAAATGGTCCTAAAGGTGCTTCCTAAAGGTGTTTTTGTTAAGTTTTCGTGAAATTAAAAGTTATAAAAATGATTTTTTGATTATAAAATATTATTTTATTGAATCTTTCGACTATTAAAAGTTACAAAATGATCATCCAACTATTCATATGTTACAAACTCGTCTTTTTATGTTAAAAAATTGGTAGTCGTCTGAGTTGAACATTAACCTGTTGATTAAGATATGATAAAATCATATTTTAATAATGTCTACTAGCACAACAGTTACTTTTAAGAACTAGATCGAACGGTATAATTTTTGAAGCATTTGTTCGGCAGTATAATGTAAACGGTGATCCATAAAATACAATTCAAACGATTCTAAGATCATATTTTAATCAATAAATTAATCTCCAGCTCAGGTGATCACTAATTTTTCAATGAAAAAGAATGATGAGTTTGAAACATGAATAATCGAGTAATCATTTTGTAACATTTAATAGTCGAAAGATTCAACAAAATATGATCTTATAATCGATAAATTATTTTTTTAATAATGGTGACTCAACCAAATATTCAATAGTCGAAAGCATTTGTACACTTGACACTAAATTTAAAATAATTTGTGGAAATCATTGAAGCTTTGACAAGTGTCATTGGTGGATTAATGAATTGCCAAGTGAATGGGGAGTATTATTTTTATCGACTTTAACAGATAACGCGGTTTGTGGGATCTGAGAGGGCACCAAAAACCGCGTATTCTCCAATTTGTGAAGTCAAGGGATCATTGTTGCCCTCAGATAACCATGTGGTAATTACAAAGAAAACAAAACACAAACAAACACTTGTTTTCCATCTTCTTCCCCGCCCTCTTGTTTTTCATTCAACATTAGCTATGGTGACAACCTTACTTCTACTTTCTCTTCTTTTCATCGTTGGTTTCCTTCATATTTACTTTGCTTTTTCTCCCAATAAATTTTATGCTTGGCTTCAATCCCTTTTCCCCAACCCATGTTCTTCCTCCTCTTCTGTAAATTTGAAAACAACCCAGAAGGTCTCGGTTATGGAACGGACTGATCCCAATAAACTAGAGCTGAATAGGGTATTCGCCACCTTCGACAAGAACGGCGACGGATTCATAACGAAGCAGGAGCTAAGGGAATCATTGAAGGCCATCAGCTTTTGTTTGACGGAGAATGAGGTCGAAGAAATAGTTGTGAAGCTGGATTCAAACGGCGACGGATTGATCGATTTCGACGAGTTTTGCGCCCTGTGTAAAGCCATTGACGACGGCGATTTCGGTAATAACGGCGGGGAGGAAAGTAAAAGATCGGGGGAAGAAGGGAATGCATACGAGGGTGAAATTCTGAAGGAAGCTTTCGATGTGTTCGATAGAGACAAAGATGGGTTGATCACCGTCGAGGAATTGGGATCTGTGTTGAGTTCTTTGGGGTTGAAAGAAGGAGACAAGGTGGAAGATTGCAGAGAGATGATTCGAAAAGTTGATGTCAATGGTGATGGCATGGTTGATTTCGATGAATTCAAGACGATGATGAAAAATGGAGGACGATTAGCTTCCATACCAGCTTTTTGATCTCAAATCTCATCGATCCATCAATCTACAGGTGTTTTTTTTTTTGCTTTTCTAAATCTATATGTTGGATTTGTTTCCTTTTAATTACCATTTTGAACCTTCTTCTTCTTTTTAATCATTATTATAACCTTTACAACACAACATGAAACAATGAAATTGAATTCAACAACATAGTTTTGGAATTGTATTTTGATGTTCTATACATGTACACATTTTTTTTAACTTTATTGTGCACCAAACATGTATGAGGTTTGAAGTTTTATTATTCTAGTGTAAATTCTGAACTCCTCAATCAACCTGAAATGTATATTCTTATTATTTTTAAATTTTTTTTGTGAAAATTATTTTTATGAGTTGTGCAATTAATGTGATAAAAGAAAATATTTTTAAAAATTTAGATTCGAATAATTACGTCAAACATCTAAAATTTATTTTCTAACTTTTGGGCTATTAAAAAAATGCTAGAAATTTACTCCGTTTTAAATTTAAAACATGAAGATTCAATTTTATATTTAAATTTTTGCAAGGGATGTTTAAAAAGATATGTAACTTTTTTAATATGTTAATTAATTAAATTGTTAATGTTAAACAATTTCAATTAAACGAATCGCTAAAAATGATAAATGTTAAGGTTACGGTTATGCATACAGTTAACTGTTAGTAAATTAAATTTTATAATTATATTGGGAGATGTAAGTTTATTTACACCGGTGTAAATTTACGTTAAGTGTTACATTTTTTTATTTTATTTACTTACATCGATGTAAGTATGTGTTAAGTGTTACATTTTTTTGTAGTATGAATTATGAAACTTTAAAACGTTCACATTGTGTTATTTTTGAAAATTAATTGTAATATGCTAACTATAGATTAATTTGTAATCGAATATTTAATAACAATTAATTGTTAACGGTTAACTATTTCTTAATAGTTACGGTACGATTAAAAAGATCTCATAACCGTAATAATGGTTAACCAACCGTTTAGGCTAAACAGTATAATAAATCGTTCATGAACACTAATTTTTGTTTATTTACCAAATGAAAAATATCCTTTATTCATTCAAACTTAATTGTTTGTTTCAAATTAAAAAAAATTAATACTTAATTAAAAATAAAATTACAGAATACAATAATTAAGTCGATTAGAATAGCAGACTATTAAATTAAAATGAAAACACTTGAATTCAGTTTTAGTATAAAAAAAATGAGGATTGTATGGCTCCACCAATGCCAAAAAGGCAACCGAAGAGCTTGTCACATGGCGCAAGTAAGACCGACTATAAACGAAAGAAGAAAATTTGCGATTAATTAGGTCAAAGTAAACTTGTCACATGGCGCAAGTAAGACTGACTATAAACGAAAGAAGAAAATTTGCGATTAATTAGGTCAAAGTAAACTTGTCACATGGCGCAAGTAAGACTGACTTAAACGAAAGAAGAAAATTTGCGATTAATTAGGTCAAAGTAAACTTGTCACATGACGCAAGTATTCAACTTGATTAATCAAACTAAGAAAAATTAAAAAGGAAAAGTCATTTATTAACACTTTCAAGGCTTCCACAAAAACATAAAATTCTTCTCTATTGTTGCTGTCGCTGTCGATTCTATCCAAAAGTTACACCACCAGTCACCATGTATTGCTAGCACTTTAAAATTTAAATTGCAAAGTTTATGTTGGTATAGTTACAGTGTTATGGATCAGTAGGCGTTTCCCTTGGCCATTGGGAAGAATAACAAGACATTTACAAGGCTTTTGCACCAGCAATCTCCTCCTTGGGCATTATGCTCACTACTTCATGCAGGTACAATACTGTAACCAGTGATATATTTGCAGTGTTTTGCATTACTGACGCATATCTACAATTGTGATAATGTGATCACATCTCTTCCTTGTTTTGGATTCTTTTCTTTTTCTGTAGAGTTGACCGATTGAGATTTGTGGCTGAGTAGCCAGAAATTAGGAGACAGAGAGAATCTGAGATGGTTGTACTTATGGTCTTTTGGTTCTAAGTTGAACATTTGTTTAGTTTACCCTTTTCAATTTTATATATTTATTGTGTCACGTTAATAATATGTTAGTCTAACGGTAATTAAACTTCAATGACCACTTCTTAATTAAATAAAAACGAAAGTAACAAAATAATATGTTTTTTGAATTCAGTGAGGAAAAGTATACAAAACATAAATGAAACTTATAAATATGTAGTTTACTCAAGAATTTCTTCTTCTTTTTTCCATTTTTTTTACCAGCACCTTAAAAGAAATTTAAATTCGTCGACCACCATACACCGACGATAACATCCATAGTCGACCACTGCTTTCATGGTAAAAAGAAAAAACACAATCCTGACTTCTTTTTTTTTTGTTATAAAATCGTAATTTTCTTTTTACACCTCATAAGCTTATATCTAAAGAAAACTCTTCGACTTTCACCTCATGCCGTTACTGTCCGATGGAGTCGCCATTAAAGTATGTTGTTTCCAACCTCGTGACTTCACTCCCCACAGTGCAGATCGTTGATCCAATTATCAGATCGAAAGGTGTGGTTTTTCATTTTTTTTCCTTTCGAAAAATATTACATGCAATGTATCTTTTGAGAGTGTAAAGTCTGAATATGCATTGAGTTGGGCCAAGATGAGAACCATTTCTTAACGTCATGTTACAAATCCTATAGCTCTCAACTCTCAAGTCCGGTAAGAATCAGCAAAGTCGATTCCAGCAGTCATGTCAATTTCAGTTTTTAAATCCAAAACGTGAATTTAGATATTCAAATTCATGTCAAATGAATCGATAACATGTTTATATAATGTTCATTTATTAAGTTAAATAAACAAGTATAAATTAAAAAATTTATATGCATTTAATAAATGAACACGAATAAATGTATGTTTAGGTCTTTTATATTCATCAACAAACTCGTTTATCGACTTATTTATAAACTTATTTATCTTATTCTTTTTTTCCTTTTATTTTTTTATATTTCAAATATCGGTGAAGATAGAAATAAAATTAAACACAAGATAAACTTTAAGTTTCAAACCGTGAAACCTAAAGAGTTGAAGGACTAATGATGTAATTTCACTATTTATGAACATATAAACTAACATGTTAGCAAATAATAAATAAACAAACATAAAATGAACATAAACACCTTAAAAAATAAAAGAACATGAAACACAATTTTATTTATTCAAGTAATACACAAGGAAATAGAAATATATATATAAAGAACTTCATAGTTGGAGTTGCCAGTTGTACAGTTCATAAACAAGGGGAAGCCTAAAAGATTGATGACTTGGGGGAAAAGAACAACCAAAACAAAGGTTGTAGTAATGGCGTATGAGTTAAACCTCAGCCATACCATAGGCAAAGCCCATCAATCTGCGACCGCCTAAACATACAACTGTTCAACGCAACCACACAACAGGAAATACAAATACACATACCCTATGACAAAAAAAAACAGAATTCCATGACTGAAAACAAAAGAAAATCTTTTAGTCATGCATGATGAAGCTAAAACACCAGGTAGGCATGGAAAGCGTTGGTGATCATGAGTGGAAACTTAAAACCGGGAACCATAGCTACAAAACAGGCTAGCTCCTCTAGGGAGAGCCTGCAAAAACAGAAGGGATGGCTAGGCCATCTCTAAACTGCCAAAGTCCCCGGCATGACCACCTTGTCGGACCCAAAAACTGCACTGAATGTTTGCTACCCGGTCGTCTGAGGTGACTATATGACTTTAATGTTTCTATCATCTTCAACGTTACAAGCGTGGCTGTTCGCAGATCTCAGCCAACTTGTATCCTTGATTAGAAAAGGATTTCACATTTCCACAAGGTCTCAACTAGTAGCTCAATGGTTCGACTGCTGATTGAACTGCAGTGCTGGAGATTCAACCCCAACAGGGTCTTGCCCAATTTTTTAAGGGAAGGCAAGCTTTTGTTTGATACTCCGGAACAACCTGAAAAAGAAAGGACCTGTAAATTGAGTTGCTCTGCATGAGACAAGGCGGCAATACCGGAATCAGTGATTGCCGACCTTGATACATCCAGATCGCTGAGGAAAACACAGTTGTGGGCAATTGCCACCAAACTTGCATCAGTAATTCTCCTGCAACCATCGAGATTGACCAACTCAAGGGTTCCACCATGTAGCCTGGTCAAGGCCAAAACTACTTCATCCGTCAAATTTAAGCAGCCACTCAGATTCACCTTCACTAGTCCGGCCTCACAACTCTTTAGAAGAGGCAGAAGACCGGCGTCCGTGATCCCACAAAGCCCACTCAGATCTACATGCTGAAGCTGAGAGCACAATTTACCCACCATAGCCAGGCTGGCTGTTCCAAATCCAGGGCAGCTTCTTACGGACAAGGATTTAAGGGAATTGCAAGAGGACAAAGGAGCTTCCAAGGATATATCCTTAATTCCCAGGCACTTCACTATGGTCAAAGATTTTAACAAACAATCTGAGAGGACACCAATAATCCCGGATTGTGTGACCCTGTTACATTCCTCCAATTGTAGGCACTCAAGAGAACCTGCAGACCTGGCAAAAGCCACCAGTCCATTGTCTGAAATAAAGCAACATCGCCGAAGGCACATATGCTTCAGGTTTATGCATCCCTTTCCCATGGCTTCAAGACTCAGATCTGTTACCCCCCGGCAAGATGTAATTATCAAAGAGACCAATTTTTGCAAGCCTTGAGCATTCCCCATGACCCAGAATCCCTTCTCACTCACATTTTGTAGTCCGCTAAGCGTTAGATTTGTCACCGACTTGCCATAATGCCCAATCACGGCGAGAGAGAAGTCTGTGATGTTCAAACCTTGAAACTTAACCTTTGAGAGGACAGCAGATGTCGATGACAACAGGCTTGAAAACCCATGATCACCAACAAGTGGGCAATCCTTAATAGAGATGGACTGCAGCTTAGGGCAAAGCTTTCCGATAGCTTGGAGGCCCTCGTTACTGATCCTGGGGCAAGATTCAAGGCTCAATGAGGTCAAATTAGGACAGTTCCCTGCAATTGAAATCAAGCCTTTGTTTGAAACTGAATGGCACTGGCAAAGGTCAAGCTTCTCCAACAAATGGCAATCTTTAGCTATCTCGGACAGACCTTCATCCCCAACACGAGGCACGTTCCACAAAGAAAGTGCCTTGAGAGAAGGGCAACCACGAGCTATGGCAGATAGCCCAAAGTTGGTTACTCCACGTGAAGATGAACTGCTTCCCTTAATAGAAAGCTTTCCCAGACCACCACGACCACTCGTTCCAACAGCAATCGCAGCAAGCCTCATGTCAGTCGCTTTCTTCCCTTCCAAGCACCTAGTAAGATAACCCTCATCTCCAACGCATGAGATCATCTCAGCATCATCAGAAACTGAATCGGTATTCTCCTTGACCGCCTTTGATGACTCGTATTCACCCTTGCGAATACTGATAAGAAGCATAAGCCAGTTCTTTGAGACAGAAGCACATGAGCCCCTTTCTTGGCCCCCAGGAAGGCGTTTGAAGATCTCGATAAGGACTTCATCAGGAAGGATGTCAATAGAAGGTTGCTTATTCTGCTCAAACACAGTTTCTCCAAAGATAAATGGGGCACTAACTCGAGCTCTTTTATGAGGAGGGTAATAGACATCCACTTGGGAACTGATTGAACACAATCTACCCAAATCTGTGGAATTTGTATAGAAAGAACTCCCAGAATAGAAATCATCATCACCTGAAATTCCAATAAAGAAAAACAATAAGCTAAAACTACCCAAAGAACATTTCCAGAATATCTATACATCTCTTTGGTTACTCCTAAGAACAATACTAACCTTAATAAACAGATAAAAGCTCCATTCTTTTTCACAAAATTTACCAATCCAATTTGATGCAAATCTTCAACAATCCAATTCATTCCTAAGACCACATATGTTCACATAAAACAAATAACTAACGACTCCTAAGTTCTTTGCCTGCATTTTCTTGTTCAAAAACAAGCACTAGCTAAATCAATAAGAACCCATTACTCAAAATCATTTCTCTTGGGTTCGGCATAAGATCAAACACATTAAGAACGACAACATAAACCCATATCGAACACGTATTGTTCTTACAAATTATCTCCATATATATTCAAATAAAACTAAACAGATGTGCAAATCAAAAGCAAACAAGGGAAGAAATGTTACCACCGAAATTAACAAGAGCAGGCATGGCTGAATCTCAAAGAAGCCGCCAGCACCAAAAACGCAAAAACCAACAAGACAAAACACAAGGAAAACACAGACCAAGTATACCCTTTGAAAACTTGAATGCATCAGAAACTTGATTTAGAAGAAAGGATGCTTAAACCCTACAACGTAGGGCAAAAAGAGAGAGATTGAAGGATGTTGTTTGAGTTGAGCTTGAAACAGAACATAAGAGTAGCCTATATACTAGGTTGGAGAAAACAAGAGGGATGTCATGTCAAGAAATTATCCCTTTTTTTAAAAATATTATTTTAAAATTAATGTTTTTGATGCAGATACATTAACTGACAACTTCTATTACATGCAATGTATCTTCCCATAAAACCTCCTTTTTTTCTCCCACTTTCTTTAGTCCAACCAAACAACCGGCTAACCCCTTTTGCCTAATCTTTAAGATAGGCTTGTTTGGTTTCAATTTTAAATTTAATATTTGGCTTTATTCAAAAGGCAAATATTAAACTTCACTTGTGTTTGAAATCGAGAAATTGGAAATAAATTTATCGGGTGATTTTAGATAATAGTGTTGTTTTTCTAATTTTGAATAGATGCATCTTTAGGATGTGTATATATTATTAATGATTAAAAAAATCATAAACAGATATTATTTTATAAACTCGTTCGACTATTAAAATAATTTTAGAATTAATGTATGGGCTTGTGGTGCATAAGTAATTGTTTAGGGACTTTGCATAGTAATGACAATCCTTTTATGATTGATTATAATTTTGTCCTCATTTATTCATTACTCTTATCTAGTATTAGGTGGATTAATGGAAGTATTTATCAAACAATGTACCGTGCTTGGTTAACACAATTACTCCTTTATTTTGAGTATATTTACATCTTATAATTTTGAGATCTATGATTTTTTAACCATTAATATTTGATCTGTTTATATGTTTAATCTAAATTATATATTACAAAAGTTTATTATACAAATAATCTTATTAATTTAACTTATTCTATTCACAAATCCATTTCTTTAATATAAAAATTTTGATTTGGTTTTTACTATTATCAACAGGGGTATGCCATTATAGGGCCAGAGGGCTCTCACCCCAGAAATTAATATATATATATATATATATATTTAAAAATAATTTAACTTCTTTAAATGATTTAAAATTTCTTATTGTATTTATATTTTTTGAATGTTTTAAATTAAATCCTTTTTAAAATTTTGAGAAGTTCCCATGAAATTTTAAATTTTTTAATTTGACTCCCAATTTCTTAAAAATATTTTAAATTAATATTTTAATTTCTTTTAAATAATTTAGACCTTCAACAAAAATAATTTTTAAATAGGTGTTTCCAAATTATATTATCAAGACTCGTTATAACTTATCATAATTTGATTAAAATAAATAATAAATTATTAAAAATATATCAACCAAAAAAATAATAATAAATTTTAAATTGTTACACCTTCACAATAATTCTCCAAAAACTATCATTCTCCACCAGACTAGACCCTTGAATAAATCTCACTGCTCACAAGAGCCCTCCCCCTCTGGACACGGGTCTCCAAAATGACTAAAATACATAAACAATACCAATAACTGACCCATGTGATATTTTAAAATGAAATTCAAGATTTAATTATCAGATATTTTTAGCTTGTTAGTCTACATATAAACATTATTATCATATATCTGACACCACTAAACCAATATCACTATAAATACCCACAACTATAACTGATAGAAGAGCTGGAATCTTCCACAACTCATATTGATCTTCATCTTTCTTCTTATAACCACCTTTCTTTCACAAGGAAACATGGACTTATGATTATTCTATGACTCTTCGCCTAAATAAAAAAGAATTAACTATTAACGGTCAACGAAACAAATTTATTCTTATCAACTATAAAAATAATAAAACAATAAAGAATAATTATAAAAAAATTAATCACAAAATTAGTACCCAATGTTTGTATAAATTGTTACTTTATTTCATATTCTTTTTTGAATTATTTCATTTTTCGACGTTTTAATTTTTATTAAAATAACTATGTTAGATGGAAATCGTTAGTTACCTAACTGTTAACATATGTTGCTAACGTGATATTTTTATATGTGTTTAACATATTAACAAAATAATGACGTGGCACATACCACGTCACCTAGAGTGATGATATGACATATGTCATATCACTTAAAGCGATTTCATGACATGTGTCATATCACCTAAAATGATAATTTGTTACATGTCATATCATCAAAGTGATCATGTCACATAGAGTGATGATATGACATTTTTCATGAAATCCAAAGTGATGATGTGTAATGTCCTACATCGCCAAAGTAATGATATAACAAGTGACATATCGTCAAAGTAATGATGTAACAAGTGACATACCACAACATCAATTAAATATATGTGAAAATGTCACGTCAATAAATGTGTTGATAGTTAGTCAACTAACGGTTTCCTTCCGACGGGTTATTTTGACCAAAAAATTGACAAGTCAAGGGTTAAAATACTTAAAGAAAAAAGAATATGAAACAAAGTGCTTATTTGTATAAATATTATATGCTAATTTGGTCATTATACCAAAAAGAATAAAAACAAAAGGTTAATAACTAACAACAACAACAAACCTTATTCCCATATGTAATGGGGTAAGGGGAGGTAGGGTAGTAGGCTGCCCCCAACGCCAGGTTGAGAGCAACTTCCGTGGAAAACCTCCAGCAGTCAAAAGATTAAAAAATAAAGATAAAATACAATGCATGTCTAAATAAATAAATAAATACATAGTTAAACAGTATTCATATGCAGTCTTCATATGCGCGTCTGTAATGGTAAGTAATCCCTGCAAATAAATCCATGCGTAAAAATCTCTGCATATAGACAGAAATGTAAGTTTGGGCTAAATTTAAAAAGAGGAAACATGTAGAGAAGGATACACAGTAGTCAGCGATAGCAAGCTACGAGAAGAAATAAAGTCAAAATGGGTTAAAACCTAAACTAAGGCAACACCCTATGGCTGTGACCCACACTACTCGGCTACCCTGGTTTTAAGTCTCCAAACTTTCCTGTCAGAGGTCATGTCCTCGGTAAGGGCTAAATCCTTCAAATCAGATCTCAAGCAGTCTACCCACTTCCTCCTTGGTCGTCATCTCCTTCTGGCACCGTCGACAGTAATCGACTCTACCCTCCTGACCGCATTCGACGGTTGTCGCCTAAGGACATGCCCAAACCATCGTAGTCTTCCCTCCCTCAACTTTTCGGATACAGACACCACCCTTAAGGACATCATAATTGCAAAGTTTGGTGTCATGTCCCACGGAGTCCTACCACCTGCCCATCAAAGCATTCTCATTTCTGCGGCCTCCATCCTCCTTACGTGATCCTCTTAATTGCCCAACATTTTGATCCATACAGCAGCGCTGGTCTTATTGTCATTCTATAAAATGTTCTCTTAAGTTTTAGAGCCACATTCTTGTCACACAAAACTCCAGTAGCAGCCATCCACTTTAGCCATCCCGCCTTTATACGGTGTGTAACGTCATTTTCTACACCCCCATCTTTATGTATCATAGACCCTAGGTACTTGAAACAATCATTTGAGTCCTTTGATGCATACTTCTACATCTTCATCGTTTTGGTTCCCACTAAAGTTTGAACATAAATACTCTATCTTTTTAATATTGATCATTAGACCATTTTCTTCCAAAGCAGTCTTCCAGGTAGCCAATCTACTATTCAACTCATGTTTTGTTTCAGCAACTAGGACAATGTCGTCAGTGAAAAGCATACACCATGGAACATCGTATGGTGTCGCACAATAGATGTCGTCCATAATCAAGGAGAAGATGTAAGGGCTAAGAGCCGACCACTGGTGGAGTCTGATTTCCACCGGGAATGCCTCGGTGCCGCCAACTGTAGTCCTGACGTATGTAGTAGATCTACAGTACATCTCACGAATCACCCGTATATAAGCAGTTGGGATCCGTCTCGTTTCCAAGGTCTTCCAGATCGTATTGCGGGGTATGCTATCATACGCCTTCTCAAGGTCAATGAAAGCCATGTGAAGATCTCTATTTTTTCCCTATATTTCTCTATAAGCCGTCGAAGTAGATGAATCGCCTCCGTAGTAGACCTGTCTGGCATAAAGCCAAATTGGTTTTCTGAAACCCTAGTAATCTGTCTCAACCTAGCCTCTATCACCCTTTCCCATAGCTTCATGGTATGATTGAGTAGTTTAATACCTCTGTAGTTACCACAACGTTGGGGATCTCCTTTATTTTTAAAGATTGATATTGTAACACCCTCAACCCGTATCTGACCCGGATACAAGTCTGAGGTGTCACATTGACTTTTCAAACTTTAAACTTTTAACGAAAACCAATGAAATTTAAAGCTTTTATTAAAATAATATTGTCACTGTACACGAGTTAACCAAAACAAGACAAAACTAATCAGAGCATTTGTAACTAACACTTTTCTTACATACCAACACACTACATACAACAAAATACCTACTGTGACTTTACTTCTGATCTGATCGCTGAGTAGAGATAGGTTAATCTGCAAATTCCTATTCTTGATTCTCCTGTTCTTCGAAACCTACGTGTAAAAACACTTACACGCTAAGTCATAGACTTAGTGAGGCATAATTACATAATAAATAATTACTAAAATATAAACAGGTCGTCTACTATCCAAACACAATTATATTATCATACCATCATGTATTATACCACATATGAGCCAATATAAATCATAATAATACCATATTAAGATACAATTATATACATCCTCGTTATGTCTTATTTAAGCCCATATACACTATTGAGAACCCAAGGTATACAAGGATTATGAGGTTGTGCACACATAAGCTGTCACCACAGCTCAATGAATGTTCCGAATGACCTATCCAGAGGTCCTAAAGATCCTCGGTAACTATCCAGAGGTCATAAAGATCCTCGGTAACTATCCAAAGGTCATAAAGATCCTCGGTAACTATCCAGAGGTCATAAAGATCCTCGGTAACTATCCAGAGGTCATAAACATCCTCGGTAACTATCCATAGGTCCCGAAGAACCTAGGTAAACTATCCATATGTTCCTTAGAACATAGGTATACTGTCCATATGTCTCGAAAGACCTCGAAAGACATAGGTAGTTCTATGACTCTTGGCATGCCAACT